TTGGATGTATTCATTTGTGGCCCAGTCTGCTAGGCACCATGCCAGGATGACGGCCATTATCTTGTAGATGGTCGGTAGCAGAGAGATGGGTCTCCAATTTGCTGTGTTGATGGGTTGCTTTTTTTGTTTAGAAGGATGGTGTTACTCTGCTTCCATGACAAGGGGACTTTCCGGTTTGTTATGCAGATAGAGAAGATCTTTGCCAGTGGTTCTGAAGATTGAGAGCTTTGTAACTAGGGAACGCCATCAGGCCCTGGTGCTAAGTTAACTGACAGTCTTATGAATTGGTTGGTAACCTCCTCCGGGTGAACCTGAAAGTCAGATCATCGGGGTCGTCTGGCTCATGGGGCCAGAGGTAGGATTGAGCCTGTGTATCTGCAGTTGGTGAGGTTGTGGTCGAGAAATGGCTTTGTAAATCACTGATAGGAATCTTGCAGCGTGGGGACTCTTCTCCTAGGATCAGCCAGATACACTTCTTTTTGTTTGTTCGATACAACCTCTGTAGCTTCTTTGCCTCCCTTGCTCGTTGTTTTCTCTCCGACCTGTCATTTTTCCAGCGGCGTGAAGGAGCTAGTTGCCGCTGTAAGGGAGGGGATGTAGGAGAAGTGTCCTGGTCCGAGTCCGAGGGAGCTAATGCAACTGGTCGAATGCTTGACCTTGTCTTCTTCTTCAGTTTGAGGTGGGGTGGTCTTGGTCTAGGTTGATGAGTCAGAGTGAATATAGTCCATTTCATCCACTTCCTCCTCATAGCCTATGATGCCAGAATCACGCAGACACCCATAGCGCATTATAGTAGTGTTTTACCATTAGACAAAAACTGGGACTGGTGCCTGCTTTTACAGTACTGTGTAAGCGTGATTCATACTGCTTGCTTTTTAAGGTTTACCAAAGCGGTTAACGCAGTCTGAAGCTTACAATCCGTACTGCGAAACTTTGTCTTGTTACTGGGATACACGGTACACTACCACGCAACTCCAATACCACATAATTTAATACCCATTTCACATTATACAGAAGAATTAAGCGCCAAAAGAAGGTCTAGTTCACTGTCACTGCAGCTACCTCTTCCAGTGTCTCACTTGTAAGCAGCATTGCGTTGAGTGTCTATCAGCTCTAGACAGAATATGTGTAAGAGATGGGAGGAGAGGTACTAGCTGGAGTTGAAGTAGTGAAGGAAGTGGGAGTAGAAATGGTATACAGAGGTTCAGTAGAAGCAAATTGCTGGTGACAGTCCTCTCTGATTGTCCATGACAGTGCGTTTGGTTTGGTCGTGGTGGTCACTTGGTGGGTGAGCTCACAACCCCAGGGAATGCTTTTTGAAAACTCTTTGATAACAATTATCCATTTTTTTGATTAGTTTGTTTAGACCTGCAAAAACACCGTACATTTGCAATCAAAGGGAATGACTATACAATATTCTGGGGTGTGTTTGTGCATCATAACCTCTGGAATGCAGACTCACATTTAGGGGTCTACAGGGGTAAAGGCTGATATTCTCTAGCTCCTAGGAGAAACCTGGGCGAGATCCTATCTGTTACTGGGGCAGATCTACCAGGTCTTGGTGGGACCTCCACTGTGATCGCTTTGCGCTCTTTCTTAGCGTGCTCAGACCCCGTGTGTATCAGGCCAGGTGCATGCTCAGTACAAACAGAGGGGTGTGGTGGTACGACGGTGAGTTCAAATAGGTGTGTGAATGACTAGCGATGATAATGACGCAGTTATTAGACATCTGTAAACTTTGTACTTGTTGAATTTTCTCATGATTTGTGGTTCAATTGGTGGAGTATGAACAAGTATATCATTATACATTAGAAACATACCAGGCTATAGTCCAAGATGCAAGCGTAAATGTAGATGCGTGCAACTGTTTGAGTCGTATCACCTTTGCAATATATACCACAAGCGGCCCAGATTCAGCTATTTCCATCCATGCATATCTTGAAATTATGCTATATACCTTTTCCCAGAACATGTCACATTTACATGGCCAAAGACGCCCATCGTTGACCACACGTACTCTCGCGGAGGCACGCCTTCTCAATCTATGGCTATGCGAGGCTAGTCTACGTAAAATATTGAAAAGTGGTAGTGAACGACAGTCGTACAGTATGGGCACTCGATTAGATGGTGACCATAGGTAATCTCATTCACAGTATACTCGGAATACCAGCCACATTTTCCTATGATACAAACGAAGTACTCTTGCTGTGAGGAATACATGTTCAAAAACCCATTTCTATGGGACGTGGTCACGGAACTTAGTCATGGCTAGACTAAATTTATTCACAAAAAACCTATTTATTTAGCCAATTCACAACCCTATGTTAATGAGATATTAAAACTGTGTTCATGTCCATGCAGAAACAAAAGATGGGGTCAGCAGTGGAATGTCTGATTAGGTGCAGGGACATATATCAGAACTGTCATCAGCTGCATACACGAGTTATGTCATAACAGTTTGGTGAAAGGTCTGTAATTCTAGTGCACTATGTTGTGCCTAGAGCCCGCCCCTAAGAGAGGGGATCTGGTTACATAACTAATGAAAAGCACCGAGGTGCAAACCTTCGGCACCGGGAACGCATGCGCATAGCATAGGTTGTATGTACTTTATGTATGCGCTTTTACAGCCCAAGCCAATCCTACACGATGAACAGAAGAGCCTCTAACCAGGAACCTAGAAGTCTGATCCTGGACATGTATTACATGGCCGTCACTCACACAAATGCCATTTTGCCCTCCCTGGTGTCTAATACTAATTCCTTTTCATGAGTCCCTGACCAAATAATGATAAGATAATCAATGTCAAGGTATAAGTCATTTATGCATTACTAAACCAGTTTAGCCATTTAATCTCCTACTTTGTGCTTGCTTCACATCACTTGACAGTATTAAAGGTACAGAGCCTTTTGCAGACTACTAAAACTTGAGACATAGGTCTCAGAAAAGGCCCAAGTCATTTTTTTACCGTTTACAGCATACATGCTGTGGGGTTAAGGACACTTCTCTCAGGTCAGGTCACATAATAGAGAAAAGAGCTCTTCAGAAGGCATAGCATGAATTAGAACAAAGGGCAGGAAGCACGTAAAAGACAGAAATTTGGAGCCAGCATGGCTAAACAAGATGGAGGTAGTGGAGCTATGCAGCAACAAAATTAATATGACACAGTACAGCAACAAAATAATTACATGGTGTGGCATTTAGATATCCACCGAAAAAGTGAAAAAAGACATTTTCAGCACAACATAAATTTGAGTGCAGTGTAAAAACAACAGGAGAGAGAACTGCCATGGATCGGATCATCAAGTGTCAATCTGTGGAGAAAGACTGGTTATGATAATCCTGCCCTATTAGTCCGAAGTATCGATGGCATAGCCTTAGCCCTACTTAATCCAACAGTGCTACACCACTTTTGACCACGACCACTTTAGTGAAATGAATGGACAAGTTACAACCCTAGCCCCCCAAATAACAAAGAAGTCATGGGTATATTCTGTAATGTACCTGGACACGGATATCTTTGTGCTTTGGGCAATGTGTCTGGAAATTGTCTTCCATAAGAACACAACCTGCAAAGCAAGTGGTATACAAAACTAACAGACGCGCTTTTTGGCAACCGAAGTGACCTGTTGTACTATATATTTACGCATGTGTCAACTATGACCTAGAAAGGCAAAGGCACAAGAAACAGGTCAACTACACCCAGGACAGCTCTTTTTTCCCAAGGGAAAAAAGAGGAGCTGCCCTACAGGTTGGATTCAAACCAGTGACACTCGGCAGTTTAGGCAAGCACTCTACCAACTGAGCTACCAGGGCAATTCAAATCTTCAACACAGCACAACAAAAGGGAAATCTCAAACCACTGTGCTATGGCACAGTATGTATTATTATAGTCTCACTCAGTATTTAGGAGCAGACTGGGTTAATTAAAGATGCCTAACTCCAAACTGAGTATATGCATGTGTCACAAAAAACAAGTCAACAACACCCAGGACAGTTTTTCGAGGTATATAGGTGGTCAGAAAAATTGCAATTCAGACGAGGTAGGTTACTCTTGCTCGCCAACAATACTTGTGTGATGGCATGTGTATCTTCGTCCTAGTAAAAGATGTATATATACCTTTCTCATTTGCACAGGGAAAGTGATATATGTTCTTGCATCCTCTTGAAGCACAAAAAAGAGTAGCACCAGGCCTTTTGCACGCTGTACAGACCTATGTAGCATAATTATATAATGAACCAGTGCAGTGCTTTCACACATAATGCTCTGCCTTGGTAAATTATATGCACAATATTACTGCTCTCTAGGACACATGCAGCAATTTACCATTTTGCTGGCATCAGCAAGTGCTTCTTTTAGCCCTTTGAGCTCTCTTCCCACAAGGCAAATGCCTGCAGCCCATACTGCACAGTCTTCATGTAGCCAAACCTCCACGTTGCTTCTACTACTGCTGGTTGTGCTGCTGTCAGCACTGCTCTCAGTGTCAGGGTGGTAAAAATATGGTCCGAACAGAAAACCCAGGTTTGAAACACCACCCTTGAGCTTACACAGGGAGCAGATGAGCTGGGGTCTTCCTGAGAGTCTGTGTTCAAGAACTCCACCACCAACACTAGGAGCACCTTTGGCAACTGAACTTCCTGTCCTTACAACATTCTTCCTTTTATTACACTTCTCTACTTCCTTTGTCGGTGAATATTCAGCAAACTTAGAATTTTGGTTTTGCTCATCATTTTTAGGCATTGAAAGCAATTGTGTTAGAGTTAGTGGGAGAGGGGGCGAACCATGGCGGGGTATTGATACTTGAAAATCTAACAGCCTGACACTCGTCTGCTCATCATCCTTGGGATTTGTCTGTTTTTCACTTTCACCACGAGTAGCCTCAGCCACAACTTCTTCAGCATCTTCCCTTGGCTTTTTGGGCTCTGGGGGCTCACAACTTAATTCTTTGTCACCTTCAACCCTCCCTCTCTTTACTCTGTCCAACCGTGGTGACATATCTGCTTCAGTATCTGAATCAAGCTCTTCACCTTTCTCTGTACCTTTCTGTTTACTAGCAGGTGATGTCTTGTCAAATTTCTTTTTCTTTTGTGGTTTGCACTGTTCAGGGGACACTTCTTGTTTTCTTAGTCTCCTGAGATTGTATTCCTTATACATGAATTTCGGATCAAACATCAAATCCTGTGCTTTCAACAAAGAGAGTGTTGGCGAAATTATGTCAGAAGGGATAATTTCTGCCTCATTTGTTTCCTCTTCTGAAGGGTTATGTGTGTCCTTAGTCTTAGCAACATCTCTGTCACTCATTCTCTTCTCCACCTCTTTGTTAGCAACATCTCTGTCACTCATTTTCTCTTTGTTAGCAACATCTCTGTCACTCATTTTCGCAACATCTCTGTCACTCATTTTCTCCCCTGCCTCTTCGTTAGCAACATCTCTGTCACTCATTTTCTCCCCTGCCTCTTTGTTAGCAACATCTCTGTCACTAATATTCTCCCCTGCCTCTTTGTTAGCAACATCTCTGTCACTCATTTTCTCCTCTGTCTCTTTTGGACTATCTTTCGTAGATTTCACATGTAATGTCACTTCCTTGTGAATTGGTATGCAGACGGTTAATTCTGTGCTCTTTTTTGGATTTTCAAGATGTGGTGGTGCCACATTGGTAGATAAAACGGTAGCAATTACCCTCCGTGGAGGACCAATCACCAAAGCCTTTGATTTCCCTTTGAGAGATTGAGCAGGCATAGCATCAGGCAACATATCATGCTCGCCCCTCACGGCCTTAGAGAGAGAAAATACGGTGTAACACTTGGTGTGTTGGAGTGAGGCAGGTTGCAGGTGTTACACACTTAGCTAGTATTTTTCTGGCTAGATCTACTACTGCACTTACATAAACAGTGTACATATTTGCTATACTGTCAACACCCACATTCAATCTCCAATTGGTTTGCAACTTCTGCGGAGATATAATTGACTTCCGGTACCGGTACCTTGTGCACCCACAAAATTTATTTTGCAAAACCAAAAGAAAGGCAGTGACCCTGAATAAGATGTTATGCTAAAAATACATGCAGACTGTTTTGTCAGGTATAGGGAAGAAAAGTAGAATTCTGGTCATGCAAATGATGCCTGATGTTGTGTAAAGTACTTCAGAACAAAACCAAAACGCAACATTATTTGTAACGTAATGCCTGAGTGCCACACGTCTTTCGCTGTAGAATGAATGCAGATGCTTTATGATTAGGTGCAAATGATCACAACATACAGATAAGCACCATTTTCTGTTTGTATATACCTCTTTAGCACTCCCACTCTCTGGTGTGTCTGTATCACTTTTAACTTCCTAAAGGAATGAACAAACACACATTGTAATTGATTTTCCATGTACCTCTAAGCTGTTGTATTATTATCATCCCTCTTTCTGTTGATACCTTCAGGACTTTATGGGTATCAGCTGAGGAGTATTCAGCTTCCTGGCTTACATCAGTCTTGACATCCTGTGTAGTTTTTGCTATATTCATACACACTTCTACTTAAAATTGTGAAGATTACCTGGGGAGTTATACTGGCAGTGGGGACACTACTAGTGGCAGAAAACACCTGAAAGTAAAAATATCAGTCATAGACAATATCAAAAAGCACAGTGCAAGCCCTTGGCACAAGGAAAGAGTGTGTGTGTTTACATGGACAAAATTGATGGGCCAGGCCACACAATGCCCTCAACTGGGTAACACACACTAGCGGGTAGCATTTACAGAGCAACGCTGGACTGTATACAAATCTTCTGAATAAATTTTTCCCTCCAAGGTGTGCTGAATGGGCTAAACTATGATGGGGTTAGGGAAGAAGCAATCTATGTAGAACCTGAGTAAATTTGGTACGGCTATACATTTTCAATGGGTGAATGAGTTTTCTGGCAGAATCTACACACTACTTGCATTCTGCAGAGGTTAGCGCCAAATAAGCACTAAAAAGAGCTAGGACTAGCGACACTCTTGGAGCCACACCTTGCTTGCCACCCAGATATATTGTGATCAGAGCTGGACCTCTTCTAGGACTAGACCCACAGCGTCAAAGCACTCAACCTATAGAAGCCCTAGCTGTATCAAATCTAAAGAGGAGAAAAGCTTCTAGGGTAGCAAGAGAGTTACATATTGCCGAAGCATTGCAATCTCATGATGCAGAGACGAATAGAAAAGGGGAAAAAACATTCTCCACAGGGTGCAAGTTGTCATGGTGTTCATGAGGGAATAATTCCACTGTGGATATTGGAATGTTCTGATGTTTGAAATCTTCATGTTGCTTGTTCGACTAGAGTATTGACTTGTTTGATTAGAGTTTGTTCAAAAGCCTGCATGTTTAGGGAATTACTTCAGTTACGTTGTCATTGAGATAAGCTTGATTGCAGTCATGTCTAATATAGTTAGCCAGGCAGCTAAGCGTACAGTTCAAGTACTGTATCATATTGGCTACATATCACATTTTACACTAGACACAGACAAACCTAAATCACAACATTGCATCTGTTTTTCACTCTCTGGGTTTCCTTGTTCTCATAAAGTACAAAAGTAAAGCACTTTGGAGGGAAAGAACAGGCCGGGCCATGTCATGTTAAAGTTACACTTGCTGTTGGACCGTTGCAACATATAATATTCAGAGATGTGGAACATTTTTGTCTTTCTTCGCTTTTGTGATTCACCAGCCCACTCTCAGGGTAGTCTGGTTCCCAGAGCCCACCCACAAGGATTGCATGTTTTTTGGGGTTATGTTTAATGTTAGGATAAGTAAACTGACATGCATAAGGTGAAAAAACACCATTTTGTTGGTTTAAACACAGCAAAAGAGGCTATGTTTTGGCAGGTATGAAGTCATAAAGTAACGTTCCATGGTTTATTGGGTGCTATTCGTGGAAAGCGCTAATAGGAAGAAGCTTTGCTGGATGGTAGCCTGGTTACTCATCAGGGATAGACACTTCACAGGTACAATGGTTTACCACAGGAGTGCTACAACATGCCTGAAACAGACCTTGGGAAGAGAGGATTGAACGAACAAGGATGAACCTTTGATGAATCCAGTCTGTCAAACATGCCGACGCTTTCGGACATTTGTACACCAGGCAGAGAGCATTGGCTTTCTACCAATTAGCTACAGAAAACATGGGGGTGGGGCTTAGTTTTGCATCACAATACTTGTTTTGATTACTAACGTGCACATATCACACACACGCTCCAATAAATTTTAATCTTATTAGTGGTACAGTTTTTCAACACGGACTACCAAGAAACCACTCGAGATCGACCACACCTATTATACATTGTGGGTGTGTTCTTGGCACTATACAAACTCCCCCGATGAAAGTACAGTTATGCTGCAATACTAGGTGCCAAATGTAGGTGAGCGGGAGAAAATTGTATTTACTGCAAATCGGCATTACTATTCGAGTCAAGCTGACGCCTTGCTTCCATCTGTTGTGGGGTTTCAGATGCAAAGTCTGCAGCTGGTAGAAGTGAAGTCGATGGAGTTTGGTCTTACTCTTCTCAGGACTTTGACGCGATCCAATGCTGGTTTTTTACACAGGCTAGAGAAAGAGTGTCTCTCTGTGACGGAGTTTCAAGAAAGTGGTCTAATCTGTTGTTACAGGCGTGTATCCCTATCCTCAGATGATCGTGCTGTACCCCATTCTCTCTCCCGTGGCCGACGTTGCAACAGGCAAGTCTCTCTCTCTCTCTCCTCGGGCGTCTCAGAAGCAAGACGCTGTCTACGACGAGCCAAGTTTCTTGCTACTCGCCACTCCCGGGCCTCCACTGTTTTTTAAGCGCAACAGTGTCTGTCTCTCTCTTTGCCCAGCTAAACGGCCCTCCCTGTGACAGTTGAGCTCTGCTGCTCTACTGAACCTCCATCATTACTTTTCCAGGCACATGTGGTGTGGCAAAATTAATAGTGAATGCCTTCAATAATTTTAGGCCACTTATTACTACTATATAGGTTGGTTAGCTCCTGCTCGTCAATAATAACCAACTCATGTGTTTTCGGATACAAATGGAAACTACTGAAGAGCAAACCCTCAGCACACCTACAAACCCATATGCATGTACGGTGCCGCTAATTGATGGCCTTGGCTATGCACCGTTAATTTATTCATACTCCTCCACTTGTAGCTCGCGGAGAGTCTGGCTAAGGCTGGTTACAGTAAAGTATGTTGAGGTTGAGAATGCACTTTGCCATTCTTTGAAAAGGAGGGGTTTTCTAACGTCTCACAAAAACTATTAAATGGATTTGTACCAAACCAAGACCAAAGGAATGGGAACTATAAGAACTACAAAATGGTACCAGCAATAGAGTGAAGAGTAATTAAGTTATTTAACATGCATTCTCAACGTGAATCGACTATAGTAGATAGCATGCGGATCTCGATACATGCCCTCCGTTGTCACTTCTTGTGCCTCCAAGGAACACACAGCAAGTGGATCAGGTCGAGGGAAGCCAGTGGAAAATTAGCTTTTTCGCTGGTTTTAACACCATATCTCTTGAATGCAGTTGTTTATGGCAAATCGCCTTTCGTTATTCACGCAGTAGTAGCTCTGAAGCTGTAAGTGTATCGCCTAATGCTAGAATATATGGGTGACAGACACGCAGAGGCGCCGGGGGTTAAGAATAATGTGCCTATTCCTTCTACCGGAGCACCTGAGACAGAGGCTACAAAGCCAAGCAAAGGCAAACCCTAAATTACTAAACTTGACATTCTGCCAATTTTTGTTTGTAGAGTAATTGCATCTGCTGGAGGGCTAGGGTTACATCCCACCACCATTTTTTGTGTGTCTACGGGAATGATGTAATTTTTTAACTTTGCAAAAACAGGATGGGTGACTCTCTGCTCCATGTAACAATAGACCATGTGATGCCAAGAGAAAAAAGATGCGGAGCTCTGGACAGCTGTTTCGGGCTTGTTAGCCCTCATCAGCAAAGCATACCGCAACTTCTCTCTCTGGCATCACGAGTTTATAAAGGCAGAGTTGAGCGCAGCACTTGTGGTTTTGAACTAATGAGATTCATCCCCACAAGGCTTTGCTCAGGCGCAGCACTTGCGGTTCTGAACTAATGAGATTCATCCCCACAAGGCGTTGCCAGTACGAGCCATGAACGAATTTAATTTTTTGCTTATTTTCCCCATGGGTTTTGCAGCAACAGAGGTGCACCACGTATCAGCCATAAATAGAGCAGAGAGCTGCGTGTGCAGGTTTTACGACAGTTAAAACAACATAAAATTGGGTAATTTAGCCCAGCGGAGGCAGGACGCGTTAACTTAGTAAAGTGAAGCATACGTACCGTTAGAGTAGTGCACTAATTAGAAACTACTGTATTAGCTTGTATGGCATATTTAATTGGCAAGTGAAGCGAGACCACCTAGCCATCCAAAGGGCCCTAATTAATTATGCGTCAAAGGTGAAAAATCTAATTGCTCAATTCGCTTGCCGAAATGTGTTACTTTCCTCTGGTGATACTCCCACCCTTTGCCAGCGTTTTACATATATATATGCACAGAGCTTCCATAAGTCCATAAGAATTTATATAGCCCTATAATACTAGGCGTTAATATTATGTACATCAATTTCTGCTTGGTTAAGGAAACACCCATAGCGCCGTAAGGGTTAAACTCTTGCATGTGGAAATACCTTTTCACTGTACTAAGACCCAACCAGCACGTTTCTATCTCCTGCCAAAAATTCACAAACCTGGTAATCCAGGTAGTAGCACCCAACAATGTTCCGACTGAGAAAATTCGCATTTCGTAGACTACCATCTTCACCCTTTGGTAGAAAAAAATCCTTCCTTCCTCAAAGACAACCCATTTTCTTCAAAAACTGAATGAAAAAGCACTGACCCTTGGTGACTACACGTGCGCGGTACCACAAATTGATGGGCTGGGCTATAATACGTTTACTCGTGGTCTCCCGCTGGTAGCTGGCGGAGAGCCTGACACGGGCTGCTACAGCAGTAGATATCATGCAGGAGTCGATACACACCCTTCGTTGTGACTTCTTGTGTCTTCAAGATACACAGAGCAAGCAGACCCGCAGGTAAGCCTGTTCTAATTAGCATTAATTAATTATTCTAATTAGTGTTTCACGCCATAACTCTCGAACGCAGGAGTTTCAGAGATAATCCTACATACGCTTCGACCTTTATCCGACGCTGAATATGTGGTATTGTTTGTGGAGCGATTGATGGGTCGTGATGTCAGATGTTGTGGAACGGACAGACAGACAACTACAGTAACCCTCGCTGCGCATGCGTGCCGAGAGTAATAACATCACTACACTTCCAGCCAATACCTACCTAGTAACCTTGGACGTGTCTTCACTCAACGCAAACATCCCTCAGGATGAAGGCATAGCTGCATGCAAGTCAGCACTACTGTCAAGAAGTACTCATGTGAACCTGTTTATGGCAAAACTCGAGGAGTCATTCCTTTGCAGAGAGTCTACTCTCAAGCCGTATGTCTGGTGGCGTTACATCGACGACATTTTTGTCATATGTAAACGCGGTGAAGAAAACCTTAAAGTATTCGTGGAGGACCTTAAACTCCTTTCATCCATCAATCAAGTTCACTGCCGAGTGGTCACCCAATTCTATCCCATTCCTCAACACTTGTATTGTCTTGCAGGTTGGCTCTCTCTCAGTGGATCTATACTCCAAACCTACTGCAGTAACTTGCAGCAAACAGCTGCCGTCCACGCCACTGTAAATCATCAATTCCACTCAGCCAACCCTTGAGAATCTGCCCTATCTGCTCAACAGACGAGAACTTTAATAAAAAATGTCAACAAGCTACAACACCACCTCCTACGTAGAGGATACAAGAAAGCCCTTTTGTAAAACCATGTCCATGATGTCAGCTGGGAAAGTTTCCTCACACATCGTCCAAGAACGAATAAAACAAACTGGATTCCTCTAATCACTACATTCCATCCCAACCTTCCAAACCTGCAGATGATCACTGGGTCTCTCCTTCCAGTACTACATGCATCAGCACGCCTTAAGTAAGTCATTCCTGAACCACCAGTTATTGGTTTCAAGCGTCCAAAAACCTTCGTGACCTCTTAGTTAGTAAAACCCACAGGATTTTATCCTGCCCGAGGGACTGCTGCATGTGCAACCTTTGCCAGATGCAATATGAGGGTGAGACTCTCCACATTCGCCTGAATTCCCACTGCCGTGACATCCGACATGACAAACTTGTTGGAGCTCACTTTGCATGCCTATCTCACTCACTCCAAGACATCGAAATCATGGTTTTGGTGAAGATGAGGATCTCATGAGAACACTGCGAGAAAGCTTTTGGATTAAACAACTCAATACCCTACACCCAGCAAGACTCAACCTCGAACCATGAATGTTCCCACAGTCCCTCTCTCATTATTTATTTTTTTTGCGTTTTTTATTTACGTATATAATTTTCCCTTTTATTTTCCCCCCTCTCTTTTGTTCCCTTTATATTATCTTATTCTGTTTTTATTGGCCTATGGTTTCAGACACCTTGTTCCATCTAGGCCTTCAGTTTCTTAGACAGTGCATTCCACCTGAACCTATTTGTCACCACCTTCTTTGTACAATCATCACAATCATTTTTACATTATTGGCAGAGTACATGTAAATTCAGGGAGAACCTTGGGTCTAAAATGCCTACCCACTTGCCCTTACGTATAACACTTCATGTATACCTCAACTTCTGGGTTGGCTGGCAGGGTTGGCTGCTTGAGCTCATCTTTGCATTCCACAGTTTCCTAAATTAATGAAGCATTTTGAACTCCTGAAATAATTTTAACAATGTTTTACCACTTTTGTAGTTGTTAATGGTGAAGGAACTTTTTCTTCTGAACTGGTGCTCAACTTCATCTGCAGTAAAAAAAAAGGTGGTAAATTGGAGTCAGAAAAGCAGATATTTATTATAAGCTACTTCAAACCCTTTGGACACCATGGGAATCTCCTTAAAAAGCAGAAATTGATGTATAAAGTATTAGTGCCTAGTATTATGACCCCATATAAATACTTATGGAGGCTCTGCACACGTGTCTGTGGCTGGTTAAGTGTTAATTACCACATACCAACTCACTTTTTTCCCACTATTGGAGTTAAGTGCAAGTTGGATTGTAGAAGCCAAGGCACTTAGAGTGGTGCTATCAATACTCTTAAACAGGGAAACCAAATCTTGTTGGGGTGTCAGTCCAGGTGGTAAGCTATTCTCTGTTGAGATTTGAGGTGTTGTAATGGATTCCTTCGCTGGTTCCTTTGCTTCGGAGTCAACTTTTGCCCCCTCTGGGGCTGCAAGAGGTTGACTACCGACTGTCTCTGCTGCACTTCCCGAGGTTGTACCAACACCACTCTTGGCTTGTGAAATATCAGCGTTGGTTTTTGGTTTCTCTTCCTTGTTGTTAACCTTTGTGGTTGGTGCTGTGAGCCTTGCTGGAGTGGAAGGATTATCACTTTGAGACTTGCCCTTTTCGGAATGCTTTGGTATTCTAAATCCTGTGAGAGAGCTTTTTGGAAATGATGCCGGCTCTTTAGCAGATTGTTTCTTGGTGTTAGTTTGTTTTGAATCTTTTACATCCGGCTTCTCTACCTTCTTTTGTTCAGTTTCTTTTGTCGACCTAGTTGAAGATGGTGATGACCCAGATGATTCTTTTCGTGAAGAAGACTTCTTGTTTGTAAGATTTGAGGGGCTACTATTGTATCTGGCACCTTTCATACTAGGTGACTTTTCTCTTACGGAGACTGGTGGACTGCAGCGTCTTGGGTCACGAAGCTGGTTAGAGAAGACAGTTTTGCTTACGGGACGATGGCTTTCACTGTCGTCTGGACTACCCGCGACTGGGGAGTGTTGAACTGGTACGGGACTATCTCGACTAGTACTAGAAACATCAGATGACACACTGTTAGCTGGAGACGAAGGGACCCCAGAGGAATAGTGAGAACTGCGACTGTGAGAGCTTTCTCGTCTGTAATATTTCCACTTTCTCCTAGAATTGTTCGAATGGTTCGAGTGATGCTGCCGTGAGGGCCACGGAGGGGTTGAGCGTGAGTAGTGCTCATCAACACCATGGGTCTGGGGAGAAGGTGAGTAAGAAGAATGGGATATGGATTGAGGTGGTGGTCGGGGAGGAAGGAGAGGGGGAAGAGGAGGATCAGAGAGAGAAGAATAAGGAGGGGGAGTCGGAAGATGAGGTGGATGAGGGGGAGTAGACAGATGATGTTGAGGAGGAGGAGGTGGAGGAGGAGGAGTAGACAGGTGAGGTGGAGGAGGGGTTGGTACAGGGAGATGAGATGGAGGAGGGGCTGAGTGGGGGGAGTAATGGTGGGCATGAGGTGGGGGATGTGAAGGTGGAGGATGTGGGATGCCATAGGGAGCAGGAGGTGGCTGTCCATGCGGGGGACCACCTGGTGCAAACTGCAATGAAAGTGGCCTTTCATAATCACTCGGTGTGTGGTATCCTTGCTCAAATCCGTGGTGCCGGTTGTAAGATTGTGTGTCGTGTCCATGAGAGGCGGCACCAGCAGGCTGTTGCTGGTACCATGAACTGTTTTCATCATTCCAACCGCTACCATGACTTTGTTGACCAGGGTATTGATAGCTGCTCCAACCAGTTGAATTCTGAGTGTATGACTGATGCTGGTCATGGTATTCCTGACTGTATGAGTGGTACTGCTCTTGCTGATTATACTGGACTGGTCCAGTGTACTGCTGTTGTCGCTGTTGTTGATTCTCTCCTCCTTGTTGATAGTAATGATCTTGATGCCCATATGTGTGCTGTGCAGGATAAGCATGTGCATGTTGCTGTACCCTAGGATCATAAGATGGGGTCACATTTGGATCAGAAGAAGTGTAATTGTGCCTTTGGACATATGTAGTATCGTCATTGCTCCCACAGTCCTGGGGATTAGAATTCTGTGCATCATTTGAGCTCTGCGTATTGGCACCAGAATGTGCAGACTGCTGTCTGCTGGACCCGTCCTGGTAGGCAGATTGGTCGTAGTGTAGCCGCTCACTATTGGTGGAGGTGGAGCAGTGTCCAGCTGACTGCTCTTGGTTACTGAAGTGACCCTGAGGTTGATGAGCAGCTACTTCCTCCACCCCGTCTGGCTGCTTGAGATTAGCCTCTCCTTGAGTTACCCACTCATTTTCCTGCCCAGCCTGTGCTTTCTGAGATTGCGTCTGGCTATCACACCCCCGCCCGTGGTCCACTCCATAGTCCTGCCACGTCCCCTCCTCTCCCTCTGTCCCCTGTGTCCAATCTTGCTGCCAGTATCCTTCTGGTGGCTGCCACACCTGCCCTTGACTGTCTACCCAACAGCCATTTTCATTCCAATACCCCCCATCTTGATACCCACCCTCTGTCTGTTCTGCAGTCCCAATGGTTTGCTCATTGCTTGCTCTAACACCACTGCCTGCTGAGACCTCCCCTGTATCTGTCTGTTCCCCATACTCCATTGTCTTTGAGTTACTATCTGGGTACTGAAAAACCTGTCCATCTTCCTCTTCCAAATTCTCAATCGTAGGTGTCTTTATACTAGAATCGTCACTATCTGAAGAGTCATAGTTCACCAAATTGCAGACTCTTTCTAGTTTCAGGGCCTCACTGCTACCTGTACCACTGCATGCTTCATGAGGGACGACACTGGAGCAAGACTCCGACGAGGTTGTAACTGCTTCCTCTTGCTGGACACTGTCTGGACGGATATTACTATCATGTTTCGTCGTTCTTTGACTAGCACCACCCGAAATTTGTTCTGGTGAGGTTTCACTTCTACTTCTTCCGGTGCAGCTCTCAGGATTGCTGAATCCAGTTAGGGAACTGACCACGTCGTCGCCTTCCCCGTTACTGTCGCTCTCACCCCCAACTTCGGTCTGTTGCCCCACCGCAGGCACTTGATCGTCACACACCGATTCGGCACAAAGCCCGCCTCTCTCTTCAACTTCACCACTTGTTACTTCCTCCATACTTTATGTAGTAGGCTAGCCACTACACCACTGCTGTAACTACCGTCCGTCCGCCTCTCGCTCTATACTCTCTGCGCGGTTGTTTGAAATAACTTCGTTAATTTAGAGACGTCCTTTACCTGAAAAGACCGGAAATGGTGAAGGGTGTGCGAGCTGACGGGCGCAGAGACAGGAGGCCCCTCTTTTGGAAGATTGGGTGAGCATGCTGCTGAAGGAGTACAGGATATGTATGCCATTCTCCGTGGAAGAGGTAAATCCTTTTGTCTCACTGCTAACCAGTGCACCTGCCTTTTCCGCCCCTTGTTGTAATGCCTTCTCCCTCCCGCCTTCTCCGCGCAGTATCGGATAGGTCAGCTCTACATGATTGCACGACATAGTGCAGAGGAGAGCAAAGGTGAAGGGGATGGTGTTGAGGTGGTTGTGAACGAGCCTTGCCAGGACGAGCAGCATGGAGATGGACGGTATACAGAGAAGAGAATATATCTCACTAGGTGAGCTCACTAGTGAGCTGCTTTATAAAACGATGCAGCCCGCTTGACGTCCAAACCTGTGTTTGTGTATAATATCTTTTGAGTGGGAGAGATAGATTTCTTCCCATTTTATACAAGCACGCCATAACACCATATTGTAGTTCTATAGTGTTTCCAAACAACCTGTTTCTACAGGATGTTTTTGGAGATGGGCTATAGTGTGCTTGTTTTGCAGCCCTGTATTAATTACCTTGACGAGGTAGGATTATCGTAGAGTCAACTAATACGTAAAAGACAAGCGGACCTACGTGGTTCCGCTTTAGTGCATGTATCCAATGATCTGGTCTATCTTTTGATTAGCCATATCCTGTTTCATTCTTTTTCTGTAATGAACCATAGGACTGTATGTGTTGTGTTGTGCCTTGTACTTATGGTTTCAGTAGCAGCTTTTCCTTACAAGAGGAACATTTGTTTACTGTGTTTCACGCACATGCTGTATGGACTGTAGCTACATAATATGTATGAACAGGTGTGCTAACTATGTAGGAGTGTATTTCCTGCCAATAATGAGTTATAACAAGGGTGTGTACTTTTGATAATGAGTGCATGTATGATACCATGTTTTTGTAGCCGCCTCCCAGGTTGGGTGCAAAGCATGATACCGCGTGTGTTCTACATAACAGAGAAGGCATGGAACTACTATCCTGTCACAATCACAGGTCTGACCAATCATAATATTCGAAATACTAGCCATTTTCTTTTCTATCACTGTATGTGGTTACTGAATGGTCACTATCAACGCAGAATACACTGTAAGTCAACAAAAAGATACAAGTATTATGCATGTTTTTGTCCATTTACCCTTCACACTGAACATCTAGTGCTCATTCCTACCCAAGTTCCTGATTCAAATAGACTCCACCTATATCAATGACAACGGAAAGACTCATAATGTAAGTCATTGCAGTAGGAGTGGTTAAAGTGATTTGTGCTCTTGAGAATTAATAAGCCCTCATATTTGTAAGAAAGAAGAGAAAGTTGCGCTACAGGCTAAGAGGTTGCCTATAAGTGATACCAGTGGGTTCAGGGCTACATGGACACGAAAAATAGAAAGGCAAAATTCCAGAAGTAGCTGGATGCTGTAAAAAATGATAAGCCAACATGCATAATCACCACTGGCTGGTGCAGCCTTTTCTGTGCTACTCGACTTGGCAAGCAAACCGCTGCTCACTGATGCATCTAGAGCAAGAAACTGGCTCCGTTGACGGGTTAGACCACGAAGCCCGTCATTTAGCTGTGCATTTTTTGTACACTCATATTGTGCAGTTTAAATTAGGTGAAAGAGCAAATATAAAAAATTCTCACTCTTTTCAGGTTCTTCCTGTTTGATTCATTGTTGGGGCTTCCTAAACAGTGCTTACATAATGCTTTATTCCCTCAATGGATTGTAGTAATTATCCATTGAAAGGCAGGAAAGTGCAAACCCTCGGTGTCAGCATTAATGTTCTAAGGTTTTGCAGAATAGTGATGAACTTTATCATAATTTTTGAGAATGTGTTAGTAGTGTCGCCTGCTTTAGCTTTGTGTTTTCCTGCTTCTTATGTTACTTACATAATAGCATTGACCATCAAGTATGTAATGGTTAGCACAGAAAGCAGTGTAGAGGATGTTCCATGTATACCTCCTGTTAGTACCCAGATTACTTGTTTAGTAGGTGGCTTGCAGCTATTCAGTGTCCTTCATGAACAATGTTTATGTAGTCCTTCATGATGTAGTCATTAGCATTGCCGTGAAAGTCAGAGGACAACACTCTCTTCTTTTCCTTGTGTCTCTCTGTCTACAGTATTGCTCACTAGCAACTAGAACGGAGACAGCGAGAACGCAACAGGAGTATAGGCACAGAGGGCCAGCCCAGCCACTGTGTTGAGAGTGGTGATTGTGGTCATAGTAGTCCTAGGGGGTAACTAACCAAAGGTATATAGGCACTGGCTCTCTAATTGCTGGTGGACTTGTAAGGATACTTTAGTGGAGTGTTTTGTGGCAGTATCTTTCCATGGCAATTATGCAGAAGAGTATGTAGGTTTGCTGCCCAACTTTAGTTGGGGACTGTTAGGTTCTGGCATGTGCTTTACATTTTGCTGGTTGCCTACTATAGTATGTGTATGGACCGGAAGTGTTTGACAGGTCTCTAATTGTTGAACAGGCCCTCAATTACAGTGATGAGATGCTGAGTCAGCGTGACGTGGTAGCAGTGGACATTGCTACTGAGGACCCATCAAACAGTGAATACAAGCCAGAGCAGGTCAGGTTTAGACCAAGCACCAGGCAAGGATCTTAGCCCATGTGTTGATTATTGTATCTATGTATACAGGACTGCACAAAGTTCAAGTCTAGTAAGACTGGGAGAGGACCTCTTGATGAAGGGTGGAAGGTGTGTTATGTTTATGTATATAAAAGTTTGTTTCCAGAAGATTTTAACATGTAATATCTAGCGTAGGTAGCCATACATTTCTTTTCCGACTCTAACCTGTAACCTCAATTAGTAGAAACCATTTTTCATCCTCTTCCTTGTGCATTTACCATGTACATGGCTTAATTGGAAAGTTTGTCTCTCCTACAAATATAAAGACTGCTACACTTATGCATTATGGTGCTCCACCCAGAAGCAGAAGGAACGTTTAGTAGCAGAGCTTGGTTCCATTCATGTATGTTGTACATACCTGAACTTGAGCCGTGGCTCAGGCATACAGATACACAACAATTGGTGAACGTGGTTATTGGGTGTTCTGTGATGTGATTTGTAGAGTGAAGAAAGTTTTATGGGTAGCTAGTTGTGTATGTTGCTGCGAAGGCTCAGCTCTAACCTCTAACCATACAGTAAAAAGTACAATGAGTGTTGTATATACTACGGGTGGTTGCCACATGTTGGAAATAATTATTGAACGGTCTTGTGTGGGCAGACCGGCTATCCTGGAAGACACAGCTACTCGATGGGTGCCAGTTTAACCAAGGGATGCACGACAGCCCGAGAGTCACTGCAATCTTGCTACAAACTAGTAGGACGACCATTCACACTAGAATACAATGGATTTTTTGAACGCTGTTTGCACTCTCTAGAGGCAGGATTTTGTCTCTTGATTGCAAATTGCATTCAATAATTGCCGAGCGCGTTAGCGTGAGGCAACTACTCCGGGTTGTATTCTCGCGATATGGGTACGTACGTCGTCAATTTGTCACGCTTAGGAATGTCAATTAGTCACCAAAAGGATGTGTAACTTCCGTCATTCGTAGGAAGTCTAGCTTCCGCCGTGCGCGCAGATTCATATGGTCTGGCTTCGCGCGCAGTCAGTAGAGGAGCGGCCTCAGTCGGACTGTTTACGCATTGGCTGGCATGCGCGAGGCAAAATATGCGCGTGCGCATTCCTAGTATAAATAGTACCAATGCTTTTTGTACAATGAAGCCTCTGTATAAAGGACCTGCAGGCATTATGAAAATCGGTACATGCAAGTATTAGCACAAGAGCGAAACAAGTGTCCATTAGTGTACTTTATTTGGGATGTCCTTTAAATAGAGTACCACTGTAATTAACCCTCGGCGCGCATGCGCAGCGAGGGTTACAGTAGTCGTTCTGTCTGTCTGTCTGTCCGTCTGTCTGTCCGTCCGCGCGAGTTCTAGCACTACAGGCTACGAGGCGGCCAATGAGTGGCACCAACGGGTTGTGAACGACGAGAAGATTGATATTAACCCTTTGGGCGCAATTTACATATATATATATGCACAGAGCCTCCATAAGTGCATAAGAATTTATATATGGCTATAATACTAGGCGCTAATATGTTATACATCAATTTCTGCTTATTTAAGGAGACACCTATGGCGCCCAAAGGGTTAATGTGGCGATTTTCCCGAAACGACTGCGTTCCAGAGATATGGCATGAAAACAAGCGAAAAAGCCAACGCGCGGTCGATCGCGCACGCGCCCTCTCCTGCAGGCTATATACAGTAGCTATATAGCGCGCACGCGTAATGTCAATTAATCGCCGGAGCATGCGCTTGGTTGTATATACGATCCACGGCCGCCTGTCAGTTTTGATCTCTGTTCCCTATGGATAAACGATAAACATGCTGAGCAAGCAATAGTTATAAAACGTCTGGCGAGAGCATTGAAACACAGAAGAGCAGATAGATTGAATAAAGCAAATATGAGAGCCTCTGAAACACCTGAGCTATTGCTCTAACCGCTAATGCAACTACCCTGTGTTACGGTGAAACTCGTGTTACTGGCTCTGTCGATGACGCACGGCCCAGCATACAGCGATGCTACAACTCGCTAGTTTACCGCCGAGGGTTTGCACTTTAGTGCTTTTCATTATGGGTGTAGCAGTACAGCTGATGTGTTCAGTTAACTTATTGTTATTCTCAATAGGACCGCACTGAGCCAATAATGTGTTCATACAAAGCAGTAAAGGTGTTCTTTGAGGTGTGGGGTATGCAGACCAAAGTAGAATCAGCAGTGCACAAGGTAATTTAGAGTGTTAAGTGAAAGCAGTCTGAACACTAGAACATGCATGTCCATTCAAGCCAATGTGTGTAGGAATGTCAGTCATAATAGCAACTGACTCAGCCATGTTGCACAGAGCATGCTAATGTTTGAAAACACATTTTCATTACTTTTGATAAACTGCTTTGCGTGTGTCATAGCACGAGATGCACTGCGGACTGACAAGTATATACTGTAATCCTCGTTGCACATGGCGTGCCAACACGTAATGTCGCTTACAGTTAACAAGTCTGCTGGAAAAAGCTCCACGTATATAGGTAAAGGCCAACATACAACCTGAACCTTATCAATTGGGAATGCATCTACCAAGAGATCTTTGTCTTAGTGTTGTCTTGACACTCTGTTTTTACATGCACTATGCAAAAGCATTTAGCAAATTAGCTGCTTAACTCTCAGGTGCTGTATTGGTAGTGCCTGACATCCATGTTTCAGGTCGTAACTGAACAACAGTACTGGTAAAAGTCAGAGCCACAAAAACAAAATTGCACACTTTCAAATGCACCCACAGGAAGGACATCTGAGAATATACTGACAAAGTGTATGTACATAGTGTGTGTGTGTGTGTGTGTGTGTGTGTGTGAGATGTGCTAGCTTTACTGTCTCTGTGATGCAATGCCTGATTCCTTGCTCATGTCACTCTGACCTTACATAACACATGATGATACTGTTCAATGTTCCCAACAGTATGTGTGTGCTCTTGGTTATTCTTTAAATGCAGGCAATTCTGGACATCATAATAAAGGGGCACAAACAGGCGTTTTTGTGGATGGACGAGTGGTATGGTAAGTAAAAGACGTGTCCTCCTGTATGGCAGGCAGGATTTTAAGAGAATAGATATGTGTATGGTAGTATATAAAGCACAGCAGTCTATATGGCTTGTGTAAGCGCGATGCTGAAGTAGGTAGATGCACCCACATTCAGGTCATGCTAAGTCTTTCACAGCCACTTGAACAGCAGAGATTAATAGCACAATAGGGCTTCGTTGACCTATTCATACAACTAATGAAAGCACTAAAGTGCAAACCCTCGCGCATGCGCGGTACCCCTAGTTGATGGGCTGGGCTATTAGTATGCACGTTTACTCGTAGTCTCGTTAGTAGCTCGCGGAGAGTCTGACACGGGCACGCTAGAGTAGTAGATAGCATGCGGGAGTCGATTCACACCCTTCGTTGTGACTCCCTGTGCTTTCAAGATACACAGAGCAAGCGGACCCGGTCAAGGTAAGCCTCTGCTAATTAGCATGTTGGCTTATTCACTTGGTTTTCACGTCATAACTTTAGAACGCAGTATTTATGAAAATCGCCTTTAAAAATCAAGCCAGTGTAGCACTGAACCCCGTTACTATCACTTTGGCCGATTTCTTGTGCGTAGTAACAGACAGTCAGACAGACACACTACGAACCAAGTACTGTAACCCTCACTGCACATGCGCGCCGAGGGTTAACTCGTAGTGGCAGCTCCAATGCTGCACTGTAGGAGTGTGCCACAGCAAACCAGCTTCGAAAAAATGGGTTCCATGATTGTGTAAAAGGATGGAATAAACTTCCAAAGCGTTACAGTTATGAGGTACATGTAATCCAAGGGCGGAGCCCGAGGATGGTTTTGAAAAACGGCTGGGGGGATATTCAGTACCACTTCAGTGCCGGTGGGTTAACCATTTGTAGCCCAGGAACACCACTAGGCCGTGGTGGGCAGTTCTAGTTCAGGTCTACACATTGCCAATCGCGCAGGCAGCCGAGTGTTCGAATACTGACTACAGCACTCGCCTGTGGTACCCAGGACTGACGCTCGGCCTAAGCGATACCTCAGTGGAGGTTTAGTACTACTTCACACCGTGTAAAACAGTCGATTCGCCACACAGAACGTCGTTTAAAGCTTCCACCGTATCCTTCGGTCCGATACTCATATCCTCCAGTGGATATGAATATTCCCCAGGAAATGGTCGGGTGCAGTCAGTGGTACCCGTGTATGCGGCACTCTGATTTCTATGGCTTCTGGACTACGAACTGTATATACCACCCACGAATTATTTTTAAGGTTCCATGGCAAGGCTGCACTTACTGTACTGTATTATTATGCATTATTTTCTTGTGGCTGTTTTTAACATGTCTCTGCAGGTATGACGATAGATGATGTACGTAACTTGAACAGAAACTGCATGAAGAGACCAACCACAAAGTATTGGAAGGACTGGAAATACCAGAATCACCAAAACCCTCAAACTTAACCTGATGACCTCTTCATGTTGGTGTTTGAGTGTTCATTGCCTTTTTATACCTTCATATCTTTGCATCTCATGATAGTATAACAGCAAAAGTGCCAGCAGCTGTCATGCCTCTTCTACCACACATGCATACACTGTACTGCGTTCTTCATTCTTAATATGAGTCGTACATTATGTGAGTGATGTGTGGTGGTACAGCCGAAACCTGCGATAAGGAACCTTCCGAGATCGGGACGAATCCTGATACACTTGTTTCAACTCCACGCGAACACATTTTGACCTCTGAGATATGGAAGACCTCTCTATTTAACCTTTGGCACTTATAGGTTTGTTTTTCGGTTCCACTGTATAGTGAGGAGCATCCGTCAGTCTGATCTTATTGTCAGTGTCTTAGCCATTATTCCTCTTCGATGGGCATGATGTAAGGTACTTTGTACTTCGCATACAAATCACTTCCTGGAGTGTAGCAACATCATTGTATATATACACAGTCGCTGCCAAAGCGTATTTCCCAAAGGATCTATTGTTTGTGTGTCAACATTATGTCGAAAAACCAATATTGGCAGTATACACTTGTGTAGATTCCAAGGTAATTTTGTCCACTTTCAAGAGTAGAGTGTCCATTTGCTCTTTGTTCAATACTCAAATCAACATTGAAACCCTTCCCTTTAAGTATATACATGCACCTAATTGACAAGGTTGAAGCTGAACACTTCTCTCTGTGCCTCCCTGTAGATGTTATGTATATGATGAGATGGAGTGGTTTCTTCTATCAGAGATGAGGGGTTATGGCTAAAACTGGCTGATAATAAGCAGGATAAGCATTGGCTAAGTGTCAGCTTCAACCATTACCCTCCAATTTGGTCCAACAAATTTCCTCCCGATGTGTAGAAGAGAGGAAGATGTATTCCTACGTTCAGGGAGTTGGAGTTTCAGAAAGTATATATCAGACGCACTCTTGCAGCACATAACATTCGCACCCCCTTCAGGGTTTTCCAGCACTTTGAGACAAACCTTTGTCGTCCAAAGACATCATACCCCCTCATTCTCGATCAGGTGTATTGTACTCTATTCCGTGTGCTGACTGCCACTACATTATACATCAGAGAGAAACTGGGTGTGCCACCTTCTCCACCCGTCTGAAGCAGCATCAAGAGGCAGTGAAGAAGAAAGGCCTATGGAAAGAGTCAGCAGTAGCCGAACACGTATAGACTAACCAACACTCTGTTGCTTGGGACAATGTGAAGATCCTAGATTATGATTCAACCAGCCCAACAAGAAAAATCAGAGGGGTCTTATATCCCTTTGGGCGCAATTTACATATATATACGTATATGCACAGAGTGCATAAGAATTTATATATGGCTATAATACTAGGCGCTAATATGTTATACACTCAAGTTCTGCTTATTTAAGGAGACACCTATGGCGCCCCAAAGGGATATACAGATCCGCAAGCACACAAGCCTTATAAACAGGGATAGAGGTGTGGAAGAGATCCACATATGGGATTCCGAATAGTTTCTATCACCTACACTTTGTCCTCTCCCCTTCCTTATCCCCCTTCTATGTTCATTGAATTGCTGTGCCATTGGCTATCGACATATTTGTGTCATATTCCATCTCCGGGTTGCATCCTAGTCACTTCAGTTGTATCACTACTCTCACTGAGGAAGGCGGAAGGCCCGGCCTCGTGAGGAGACCGAAACATTAGTTGTTTCAGCACTCTGTTTAAACTGAGAGAGTGCATGATTACTATGACTCTCATTCTGATTTTGAGAGAGAGGTCACCACGTATACCCAAGTCTTAGTATCGGTTATAATTAAGACACATAATAGCCTACGTAAGTGACAAGAAGTGTAGCACCAGCACCAGTGGTGAGTAGCAGATTTGTATGGGGACCTGTTAGCCCACCTTGCGTACCCTCAATACAGACATCGGCTTGAAACCATGCTCTGATTGTCCCCTCTTTACTAAACACTGCATCTGAACGGCCTGGAAGCATAGTATGGCATTGCGTGAATAATGTGACAGTGCAGAGATAAAGGGAGGTGAAATATGCCGTACCAAATTGTCGGAAGCACTCTTGACTTCATATTGTTGTTGTTGGTTGTACCCCTTATAAGAATTCATAGGTTAGAGGTAGGTGGAAAGAGAAAATAGTAGAATTGCTTTATGGAGTATGAGTACTTCGTGGGCGTTAGTGAGAAAGTCTGGGAAAGAGGATTAGTCACATATGTTGTTGAAAATTCTAGCAAACGTAAGTTCTCCTATATCGTTTGCAGGTCAGGTAGGGAAGCGACACACCCAGAGATTATCTCCTTGTTGTAAGGTATAGGTTGACCGCACTGCTTGAGACGAGCTTTTCATGAAGTACAAAATATCTGCACCCTTCCAGCTTAAATATGTCTCTCTGTAGATGATTACGACCTGGGGCGGCCTATTCAGATGCGGACGGCCACCACGTGACAGTATGACATGAATGAAAGAATTACAATTTTTTGGGAGCGAAAGACTGTGACTGATAAGATGAAGAGCGAGCATGTCTCTTTCGCGTTTAGAGATTGATGTCATGTATGTGGACACATCGCCAATGTGTGTTGACAGTGTTGTAACCCAAGCTTAGTATAGGAGAAACTCTCTCAAGAACATGGTCACAGAGTATTAGAGGCCAGGGGGCAGAATATTTCTGTCACTAGTCTGGATTACAATCATGTATTCGCATTTATTTTTATTCAGTGATTGGATACAACCACTGAGAGATGGAGTCTAGTCAGTTTGAGTGATATCATAGTCACTGTGATTGGATATTTCCGAATGCATCGGCATAGAGAACAACTTTGGTGTCCCTGGAGTTAACTACACTGAAGGTAAACATTGATGTAAATCGGAAAGGAAAAGTAGATGTCCGAGGAACTGATCCTGTGGGACACCTGAATATCCGAACTAATAGTAAGATCCGCTGACAACTGAGACAAACAGATTTTTGCGATTATGGAGATATGAAAAAAGCCATTTCTGTACATTGCCTGAAATCCCTGAATCCCATAGTTTATAAAGCAGAGGGCAGTGTGGGAAAAGAGAAGAGTTTCTCCTCTCTGCTCTTATATTTTCAGTCTCTCCTCTCTGCTCTTATATCTTCAGCTTGATCTCATTATCCCCATGCACCACATGACTACCCTGCCACACAAAACATGGCACACAAGAGGTTTACTACTTTTGAAGCTCACAGCTGTTGCTATGACTTTAATCACATGCCTTCTGAACCACTTCAGATGCATACATGGAAGTCTGAAAGGGCTGGTCACAAACTCACAAACTTGCTATATTATACAATAATGTGTAATACAAAAGAGAGATGTTAGTAACTCAAAATTTTTTGGGATTGTTCTCAGTCTTCGTTATTGTCAGCCTCATTAAGGCAGCTAAAGCCACCAAGCAATGGGGGGATCAGACAAGAAGAGGTGTCGTCAACAGTCACTGCATTGCAAACATTACCAATTACGAGGGGTTGTATTTCTGATTCAATGTCACATTCTCCCATTCTCACTGTATTCCAGTAATTTCTAATAACTCTAACCTCTTCGCTTGGTTCGTCATCTACAAAGCTAAACTCGTCGTGTATGCTAATGCTTTTGAAGACATTGTAGGGTCCAACAACCACCCCTGGCTCAAACTGAAGATCGTCTCCTATTATCATAGTGTTTATAATGTTGTAACTAAACTTTGTCATGGTGCCAAACTCGACATCTTCTGCAGTATCAACGACACAAATCATGTTTCTTCTTGTGTCTCCTTGAAAGTCGATGTCCTCTCCTGATGCCCTCACAACACCAAGTTGTACCTGCGACAGCCGGCCAAAGTTTATCTCCAAGTTTTCTTCAGTGATTTCAGACAAGATGCAGTTGGAGAGGGATCCAGGGTTACTTGTGTTAGTGTAGATTCTCTCAGGGCACCTGCAGGATGTTCTAAGGAACTTGGCCCCTGTGATCTGGTCAAATTCTCTCTGAAAACAGGGAGCATTCTCTGCAGCAATCCAGGAAGAAAGATCACCAGTTGACAACGATGCTTCCAAGAATGGCTCACAAGGCAGATCTACATTCGGGCACACTACTGAGCAGCGGTTGTAACAGGAACCATTGATAAACTTGTGCCGAGGAGGGCACCTGCGAGCACTTGTCTGGGAAAGTAACAGCAGTGTAGCAAGCAAACGAAATGCCGAAATCGAAGCCATCTTGCTATATAGCAGTGCGACCAGTGTGCTCGAAAGCGGATATCAGAGCAAACGGATTTATCCGTAATTTCGAACACCATTTACGGGCTAAAATCGAAGAATACGGAGGAGAAGCGCGCTCGAGAAAAAGCGGGGGCGCTACGGAAGAGTTACTTCACGGATTACTGTAAAGTTTAGTTGGAGGCTTTGGGATATATATTATAATGGTCTGATATAATAGTGACGTGTGTGTGTGTGTGTGTGTGTGCTCTACCCTGACTAGCGACCAACAACAAATCGTCCAAGCGACGCGGGCTGAGCGCTGCGCGATGCTTGTATGATGAGCTCGGCGGCAGTCTCGAAGCTAGTAACAAATGGGCCTTCCCACTCCTCGATTATTACCTTTGTGAAACCTCAGTGATCTAAATTCTTCACAGTGATCTAACTTGCAACTTAGAGACTTAGTACTTACGTAGATGGCAGACCCAGTACGTATAGGTTAGATCACTGGAACGAGTCACTATTGCGTCATTCTCATCCCGACCCACGAGGGTTTTCAAACCGAGGAGAGACGAGTTCAGTGGTCTAACTGGCTTAGAACCGCGCACGGAGAGCGCGGTTTCGCTTAGTCTTTTCGATAGTGTGCAAGACCCGTTACCCTGTTGGCTCTGCCAGAATTTAGGCTCGTTGGCCCATTTGCTCATAGCTTCGAGACTGCCGCCGAGCAGGACGCGTTCATCGTACAAGCATCGCAGCAACTGGACGGATATATCCTGCGAGCCCCGCCGGAGCAAGACACTGCCACTGGAGCGCTCAGCCCGCGTCGCTTGATCTGGACGCGATTTGTTGTTAGTCAGACGTTGAAATCGGCTCTACCGCCCGGGAAACGCCTGACTAGCGACCAACAACAAATCGTCCAAGCGACGCGGGCTGAGCGCTGCGATGCTTGTATGATGGCGGCAGCCTCGAAGCTAGGAGCAAATGGGCTTTCCCACGCCTAGTACTACGCGTTTTAGACACTTGATTACTACGCTCAACATAAAAGGGAATTATTCATGAGAGGTTCTAAGGCGGAACTACGCGAGCCTGGAGGGCGATTTTCCGGGAAACGACTGCGATAAGTGTGCCGTGAAAACATAATCGCACTCGGCTTACCGCGACCTGATCCGCTCGCTCTGTGTACCTTGGGGGCTCAGGAAGTCACAACGAGTATCGACTCCCGCATGCTCTCTACTACTGTAGTGTCACACTCTCCGCGGAAAAGAAGGATTCTATAAAACTCGCTTTCTCATTAGTGAGACCTTAGGATTTCACTGGCAAAGTAGCTACTAAGAATCAGTGAAGTGGCACTAGCATACAACGGGCGAGCGTTAGTAATTTCTATGGGAGCTGTATAAAATTTAGTAAAGTTGTTATCAAACACTCAGTTACTACAAAAAAAGAATGTTTGGGGTCTCACACACATGAACCTGTGCCTGAAATTTTGCTTGCATGATAGAATGCATGATAGAATGCTGTAGGCCCACCAAAATATAGAAATTGGATTCTCTGCGTTACACTTGTGTTGCATTAGTGTTTACGCATGCGTGCAGCCAAAAGTCAAAGGTGGGCGTGTCGACTGAATCAGACCCTCCGAGCTACATGATGTCGGCTAGTCTGGATGTAGAAGGTAAACCTATGTGTGCTGTAGTTGTGGAGGGTGGCCTGCCCACTGCATCGTATCTGGGAGTTCGTACGCAGGAATCATGCTTGACCTTGCAGCCTGGAAATGTTGTGTAAAATTGCCTTTAGGGATCAGTGTGTGTATATGTCCTTCGCATGCAGTCAGTGCCTGTGTCTGCCCACAATTAGTGCGTACATAACAGGGCTGCGTGTAAACACACATTTTGGCAGGACCTAGTCTACTGTATATACTACTGTCGAAATGCACACAGTATGCAGTGCACAGGACGTTGTGGCTGCAGACCCTACTGGGAAAAGCGACCCCTACTGCCTGGTGAGCCTGGCTGGATCCTCAGAGCCCACCTTCAGGACTGAGACCTGTCTGGCTACACTAAACCCAGTCTGGAACCAGAGCTTCACCTTCCCTCCCTCCTCCCTCACCCCTTTCATACACAGCACAAGTCAGTGCAGCCCTGCCTTTACTGCATTGGGCAAAATTCATACGATAGCTACACGTGACGTCTGTGTTTATACTTACCTGTGTATAATAGGCAGTCCAATGGCACAACTATAATACCATAATGTAGGAGAAATATCTGTGTGCTATACACAGAAATGGTCCCTTATACCTAGCTTTTCTGCAACACTGCTGCTGAGCTCACCTTCTGTCCTTGACTTTACCTTGACTTTATCTGATTTATACTGTCACTCTTTGGCATATAGATTAGTTTGTCCTCTAGTCTCACCCACCGCCTCTCCCTTCTCTCTATCAATGCAAAGTTACAACTTTAAGTGGTTCAAACATCATGTTTTGCGTCATGATTCTTGGAGGGCCGATGAGAGACTATAGATCCCACCATTACAATGGTCCTGGATGATATGTTTCCTGGTTTGACAGTATATGCTGCATCTGAACACAATCTTTTTTATGTAGCGTTATAATTGTCGTTTATGTGTTGGAATGAAACCTGTCTGTAGTACGTGAGATCTTGACTGCTCAAAAAGGTACCTTCTCACTCACCTCCCATCCGCTGTTTTATTACTGAGTGATGGCCGGGGTGGCACAGTATTACAGACAGTGTCAGCAGTTGTGGCATGATTTTTTTATGATTTCTTACCATTTGTGTGCTGCGTATGGCTCTCCGAGTTGTGTCATTGCATGCATGCATGTGGCGAGGCGTTTGGACAAGCGTTCGCCGAGCCACGCTGTCGTTTCAATGTGGGATATTTTTTATGATGTATGACGTCATCGCGTGCATCTGCACATATCGTAGTGTTCTACGACTGATGTCTATATACGCGCAAATATACATCGTGTAAATAGTGAACGTGCTCGGTCAGCTTGCTCGCTAACAATAGCATTGCATTCCACTCTAGATCCTCTCAACGTATCTATGCTTTGGTTTATGTATTTCAATGGCAGAAGGATGAGTGACGTCTGTTTTGGATACTGTTGATTGAATAAAGTTATGGGACTATGAGTAAGGTCATATAAAGAGTTGACTTGCTTCTTTGGCCTGAATAGTTGGGCCCACTGTGTGATGGTACCTCTCCTGGACGTGATTAAAATTAGGACACTACCAATAACAATGAAAAGGAGTCAAAGAGTTTGGTGCGTTGCGGACTATCAGGGTAACTACGCCTCGTATGGAAGAAAGAAAAACTGTGAGTTTTGGTTTTTAATTAACCCATCATGAAAATGGATGATGTCAAATTCAGTTAGAATGAATGTGGTTAGTGTCAGTTTGTATAGTATAGAGTCTCCGTCCTTTCCTCTATGTCTGTGTAGAAATCTGAGCTACTCTGCATCAATGGTGCTCAACTGTTGAGGCCCTGCAGGTTCCGGAAGCTACCAGGTCCAGTGGCCAGTCATAACCAGTATATCTGGAATCTCCTGGTGAGAGCAGATGCGTAGTGCGAAGCTGGATGTTGTCTAATGGTTATGTGTGTGACATCTCGTCCTTCTACATGATTCTCTGACACAACCTTTTCTGCACTAAATTATAGTGTGTAAAACTTCCTTCACTAGACCTCCCTTATTGGTATTTTAAACCAAATTATGAAAGTAAATATGTATCTGCTCATGCCTGAAATTTTTCTATTGTACTTCCAGGTGATTTCTATTGGCTCACACGGGTTTTGTCAGCCTTTTTTCATTAGGGTTCAGCTGGTCGTGGTGCGTTAGGATGGACCACAGTATGTGGTATAGCTCTCAAAAACACCAAGAAAGTCGAGAGATGAAGACCCCAACTCTTCGGTATATATACCTATGCAAGGTATCATTGCCCCTGTATATTATGCAACGATTATATACTATGTGTGCATGACACAGAGGATGTTCTGGCGAAATGATATTTCTGGCAGAGGTAGTATGCTCTTCAGCTGCAAGCAATTCACATCAACTGTTTCGATGCGAGGCGAGAATCACAACTGCTCGTCATTCTCCAATGCGAGGTCGGAGCCAAACCACACTGAGCCAGCTGCTAGCGACCATCCCTCGCTGACTGCATGTGAGCAGACACAGGGATTCTCCTAACGTCCCAGGTACCTTCGAATGTCTGTATGGGGCCCTTAATGTCTATGCATGTTACCTGGTTTCAGAATTGGGGATTTGTGTACTTTCTCATTGCTATGTTTTGTACTTTAAGTATGAGTTCACCTGTTGTCTGGTCTCTGGTGTGGTGCTACTACTCTGACAATATGTGTGTGACACGACTACGATTGTTTAGGTGTCATAGAAAATTGTTTTGTGTTTACGATCAGGGTCTTGGTGTGAAAGAGGTTCAGCACTGGACAAAAAATGGTGATCTATCCAGAGAAAAAGTCCAACACGTGAGATTGGAGGAGGTTCTGTGGTGGAGCAGAGGGGGAGTGGACTGGACGACCATCACACGCGACTAGTACAGTGAGGTCTGTAGCTACGTCTATGCGGCCCACACACACACATCACACACTTAACATATGGTGTGGTTATGTGCACCTTCAGAGTGATGTTTGTTCTTTGTCACTAGTGGTGGGAAATCCACCGGAATCTCAGATTTCGTGTACGATCTCATATATCAGCTCGGCAAAGTTATGTCTCATCAAACATCACACAGCAGCGCGAAAGAAGAAAGAGAGAACAGTCGCGTTCATCTCGCGCATCGAAAAGCATCTGCATGATGGTCGTCTTTTATGTTCTCTTGTGTTTACCCCGTTTTCTTGTTGTTCTCCTATAATTTTTTAGGCCATAGCCCACAGCCTGAGTCTGCGCGTCATGCAAACAGAGGGTGTTGAAACTATGGCGATGCGCGACTACGAAGATTGAGACAAGATGGGATTCCATATATTACATTACAGACAATGATGATGAAACTGGTAAGGCCGAGGGAGCTCCTGTTAATATGCTGACAGTAACGAGTGTTGGGTAGAGACTGTGGATGTGACTAGTCCAGTTCTGACCCTCCCACAACACGAGTGCTGAGTCTGACTCCGCAGTTGTTATACAGTCTCGTCTCAGTGTATATTGTGGCAAATGTTGCCGACACTATCCTCCTGTCCCTAGCTCTATAGCAGGTACAGTGCTCCATTACACTCATGCACTCTATCTTCCATACCAGGTTGTAGTGAGAGATCATTATTATTTGTCAATCATACATGTCGCAGAGGTTCTTCAAAGCTGAGATGCTATGAATGATAGGTGGAATGTCTACCAAACTGTTCCCAGGGAATATGTGAGAGACAGGGTGGTATGGCAGGTTTGACTACATGCATGTCATTGTGATTCAAAAAGCCATTAATCGCAGTATCTGAAGAACTTGGGAAAAGCGCTGCAGGCAATGTCCATGCGAGCCAAGCTTATATGACTGTGTGATAAACATTATACCCTCGCAACTCACTTTATTCCAGTCCTCCGTGTCAGTAATGTAAGTACGGTCAATAGTATAGTATGTTTTACGCATACCATAATATTATCACAGTGTGAGTGATCTTCAAGAGTCGTGCGCAACTGAGTTAGGAGTAGGGTATGTACACGGTATATAGTGTGATAATAATGTGTTTAGCCATAAAGTTTATGGTGCGGTGATCAAATTGTGTAGATATTCAGGGTGTCCACTCTATGCTATGAGTACGTCTCTTGGTGGTGTCCGCCGACTTCGCTGCACGTGTGTGTGTGGTGAAGGGAGAGAGTAAGAAAAACTTCTATGCTTCGCTGTGCACAGCCACTCACTGCGAGCATGCTGCGAAAGGTATGTACATATGGGCTTCTAACGTGTTGAACAGTCGCAGTGGAATTGTTGTCTCATTCCCCTTTTGCTATGTACTCCCGACTATTCTTCCTATGTTGTTCTACTGTACCTCCACTTCATGCATGGACTGCTTGCTGATGCGTAGTGTATTGCGTGGCTGGGTCTTACCACAGCACTCAGAGACGAGACGAGTGTCTGATAGCCAAGAGTCATGAAGTAGTGGGCCCCTGATGGCAACTCACCAATACTTTGATGCTGCGCTCGTTTCTATTGCCGCATGCTACCGGAAACTAATAATCATGGTAGTATACGAACAGTGTTTTATGTACATGAATCCTTGATTTTTGAAATGAGTGTGTCGTGTGCATGTGAATGTGTACAGTACGTGTGGAATTCATTTCTCTGTGTCCTAGGGAAAAGGAACGGAGGACATCACCAACTACCCAACACAAGACTCACGTACCTGGATATACCCAACATCCATGCCGTGAGAGAGAGTTTTGAGAGTCTCAAGACTCTCTGCCTCTCTTCTACCAGTGACAAGTGGTCTCAGCACTTGAAAACACTCAGTGGCTCAATTACATCAGCCTCATTCTCAAGGTATGAAGGCAGAAAATGTGGTACATAAGCCCCATTGGGAATTGCTAATTTGTTATATCCATTCTGTGTCATTACCCACTTTTCCCTCCTAGCGTACTGTGTACTAAACTACCAACTGCTTTTGTTTATTAAAGTATGACCTTCCACCACTCGGTGTGTAGTGTTGCATGCTTAGTTCCTACACCATCCGCTACTACATAGATAGTAACAACTGAACATGGCCAAGAGTTGGTCCAAACGCATGTGCATCTAGCTAGCTTTAGCAGAGACCATCAGCCAATCTCTGTCCACATGTGTTACTGGGATGACAATTTACTAGGGGTGCCACGATGATTGCCGGTGTCTGAAGCTCCGCAAGGAAATGTCCTCATTCACTGCAGATGATGGCTGGGACAGGACATCCCAACTCACCTCCCTCTCCCAGTCTACTGATGACCCTTACTTCAGAACAGTGGAGGGCTTCAATGTATGCTCAGCTGCAGGATTATGTTTGTACAGCATCGGTATGTACCTCAATCTCACCCAATGTGTGTGCAGTAATCTATCTCTCCTCCTTGTGAATGAGGGTAACACAACTGAGATATTTTATCTCTAGTGTTTGATCAATAGGTTCTGATTGAGAAGGAGTGGCTCTCATTTGGACATAAGTTCCAGCAGCGACTAGGCCACCCTCTCCTGCCTCATGAACGATCACCCATCTTCCTCAGTTCCTGGATTGTGTACATCAGGTCTCAATCTCTTTGTGTAAAATACAATGCACGTTATTACGTGTTATTACTTTACAGATTATGTGGCAGTATCCTAATGCCTTTGAGTTCAATGATTCACTGCTGTTGAGAGTGGCAGCAAGCACACCTCAACACAGCTTGGTAACTCTAGCTAAACCCACGGTACTCACTGTAACATCATTGTCTATTGTGCAGGTTTGGTACATTTCTCTGTACTGTGACCGGAGCGACACAACCTCTCTCTCTATGCCACGACCTCTCTCTCTGTGGGCCCACATAGATACCGACCTCCACTCCATGCTCAACAGTGACTCACTGAGACAAAAAGGTAGGCTTTCATTCACTTTCTCTCGTTACTTGTTTGTATTTACATCTTTGAACTCGGCCAGACCATATCCCAATATATAAACATCAGTTTGAGGCTATGGGAGGAATTTCCTGACTGTTGACACGACCCACATGGCACACAAGGCACAGCTGAGGAACATGGTGTGACACAAACTGCTCAGATGGCAAAGGTATACGCACTGCTCCTTTTCCTGTGGATTCCAACCGACATTACTACGCTACAGGCCACAACCCAGGCGGCTCTCAGCTCAGTCATGGGCACTGACACTGTAATGTGGATGTCCAATGACAAGACTTGACTGTTGCTTCTGGTCAGCAGAGGTCTCTGCCTTAAGGAGAAGGTGATTTATACTGCAAGAGATATGTGATATGTGTGTGTGAGTGCTATTTTTGGCAGTAGTATATAGGTGGTCTGGTACTCCCAGTCTCTTCTATCATTGTTTGGTCTAGGTACTATCTTGCCACAATGTGTTTTCATACATTCTCTTCCTCTTACTCTCTCTCTCTCTGAGTCCATCGCCTCCCCCTGTTTTCTTACCTTCATAGCACCACTGCAGAGCATGTGGGAGAATAGTTGTATGACTGTACTAAGAGGCGCATGGCTCTCAGTCACCTGGGCTACTCCACCGTGTTTCGAGTGTGTGATGAGTGCTACAGTAAACTCCATGGAGCACAGAACACCAAAGACACTGATGTATGTATAACCTACAATTATACAGAATGTTATTAATGCTCTATTTTTCAGGATGGGTTTATACTCGTAAGCCAATCTTCACAATAGTCATCGACAGTTAGACTTTACTTTGTATCATACCATAATATTTTATTTATGTGTTTGTGCCATGTGGAGCTACATGGAAGAGTTGGTGATATCATGGGAGTTGTGACTCTATGTATTGGCGAATGAACGTCAAAAGTTGTAAATAATATATGAGTGCTATTGAACACATATTCACTCGGCGGAAATTTGCAGATTGCTCTTAAACCATTGGTGTGACATGCTTTTCACATTCACTGAGATCTGTAGTGTATGTAGGTACAGTGTTTTTGGACATGAGTTGGTCTTTTTCGGAGGTTCGAATTCTAATGTATTCCAACTAAGATGGGATAGTTTGTAGCAGAAGACGCACATTGCAACTCTTTGGCGAGAAGTTTAATTTGAACCAACATTATGCTATTATTGACTCCATTTTTAATATCGTTCTCTACATTGTTGTCAGTTGACATGCCACGACCTGACTTGATAGGGAATAGCTATAGCTAGGGTATATGCTACATAAATAGTCTTGGAGATATGGATGTATCCTGTAATGTAAAGTCATTATGCCACATTCCTAGAGAGGACTATGACTGTTGTACTATCTGTAGAAATGTTGGTGATAAATAAAGTCGGGTCGTGGAAATATATATGCTTGCTTGGATGGTGTGGAGATTATATTCCAACAACCAGGAATCATTCGTGATTTTGGTGAAGTCATAATACCACTCATCTACACAGTACAAAAGTATAGATGTGTCCTGGTGTCAGGTCTGTAGTGCTAGCTGCTAGGTACCTGTGTGCGCTAGTGAGTCATGGCAGAGGACGCCGAAGGGAATTTGGGTGGGATGGAAGTGATAGCAGGTAAATACATTGTTTTGGTGTGTATTCAGTCCTCATCAAAAGCGCCGTGCAATGGTGGTGATTATTTGTGGTGGGGCATAGTGAATGTGCGCTTGCGTACAACAAACACCCGCCCCCACCCCATTAGTCACTGTCTTTGCGAGAGCGAGATGGAGAATCCGGTTGATAACGAATGGAAGTGCCCATACTGTGGCAAGTTATTGTCTCGTACATTACCTAGTGTGATCTGTAGTGCCCCGTTGCAAGGGTCGTAACATAATTTGGCTTAGCAGTCGTGGCATGGACGCAACACCGCCCACCCTCATCGTCTCGTCTGAACACGCAGAGGTTCGTACATCTCCATCGCGCCTAGTGATCACTAGCAGATGCAGGCAGTCGTCCTACAAATCACACATCGAATCTTCGGATGTACAGTGCAGTCGTCGTTTAAGTTCCACGCCACCGTAAGATAAACCTTATGACCGCGGAACACTGAAGATAATCGTCTACATAATCTACCTGGCTGGACGCGCGGTCCTACAAGAAACAGGCAGCCACTGCCAGTGGCTCGCTGCATCTGAGCAGCAGAACTATTATTTCAGTCGGTGATGTTGATACCTCACCGTGCGGAAGCGCTCGCGGACGCCCGTTGATGTCTGGTAACTCTGAGTTGCCAAGTACTCCTCCGGCATTCACCCGAGGTTGATAAAGCTTCACCACAGGAACCTTCAGAACAGGCAGCGACGCCGCATTGTCACTTTTGACTCTGAGCTGCAGACTAGTCTATAGGCAGCACCGCGGTTGTGATGATACCTCACCACAGAACCTTCAGAAACATGCCAGCGAAAAACCCCATCAGTCTAAACTATGAGCAGCAGAATATTGGGCACACCCGAGTTTGATGATACCTCCATCACCGGGAACCTTAAACAGGCAAATGCGACGTCCCATGGGTCGGTAACGCTGAGCACAGAATAATATTCCGGCAGCTGTTTCATATTCCCATTTCACTAGCAGGAGGCAGCGCGCCCGTATCCCGGTAACTCTGAACAGCCGAATAATATTCTCGGCACGGTTCACTATACCAGCAACTACAGTAGCAGCACGCCCGTTCTCGGTAACTCCCTTGAGCTGCAGCATACTCTGGCACACCGACCCCTGGTTTCATAAAGCTTTCACCACAGTACTCAGAACGGTCGCGACGCCTGTGTTCTGTACTCGAGCAGCAGGCGCACCCGCGGTTGATGATACCTCCACAACTGACCTTCAGAACAGGCAACGACACCCTTAGTCCGTTAATCTCGAGCTTCCCGCAGCCACCCCATGTTGATAACGCTTCACCACCGGAACCCTTCAGAACAGGCAGCGACGCCCATGGTCTGTAACTCTTAGCACAGAAAATAGCCTGCAGACTACCCGCGGTTGATGATACCTCACCAAGGAACCTTCAGAACGACGCAGCTATGCCCGTTGCCGTAACTCTGAGCTAGCAGCAATATCTCGGCAGCACCCGAGTTTTGAAGCACCAACCGCAACTGAAAACCGTTCAACGATAGTACCTGTTGTTGGTACTCTGAGGTGAGTTCATAGCAAGGCAGATTTTAACTTCTTTCTTATGCTGTAACTTGGCGATGGAAACGCACAGTGCACTTCAGTTATGTGCACGCACATTACTTCACTTCAATGTTTTATGCTTACTTCTTTGTTTCCCTCAGGAAACAATAACCTGTTTACTCTGTCTCCGTCGGGAGTACCACAACAATTTCCACTTTCAAGTGCAGAACAGACCACGTCTAATTCAACCTGTGTACCACATAGTGACTTTTTCTTCACAGATCAGGCCATAAAGCTTTGGATGGGCTAATGCTACAAAGATTATGTAGCGGTGACATCTTGTATTCTAATACCTAAACTACTCCTTGGGAGTGATGAACAATCTTGTATTCACTGAGTTTGGGATCGGACATCATGCCTGGGTATTGTGGGAACACAACTTGGAGACTGTTTAAACAGCAAGCTTTGTTAATTTTATTAAGTCAGGGTTTAAATATAAAAGATTGTACAGTTAGAGTATGTATCTCATCCACAGTATTATGAGTGAAATGAGCCTACCAAGTCGTTCAAGGTGGAATTTTCTATATGAAATTTAATAGTGTACGGTATATAAAATGCCGCGAATATTTAAATAAGAGGAGGAGGAGGATGGTATGAAAGTATCAGGGAGACAAGATCGGATGGATGCTGCAGCACAGTTACTATAACAGATTGGAGCATGCTCACAGCTACAAATATCATCACACATCCCTATCTTGTTAAGTTGAAGTTTGAGAAACGTTGCCTGTTGATCTTTATGTGTGTTCAAACATATGTAGTCGTCATGGAACAATGTGTTACATCATGCGTCCAATGTGTTATCTCTATGCGTTACCGTAGCAAATTTGCGAAGTGAGTGACGAACAAAATTGTCTGAAAAGTGCGGGGCTGTTGTTGTAGTTGGCAGTCATAGGATACGATGTTGTCATTTGCACGGGGCAGTTGCCAAGTTTTATGTCCACGTGTGCTATCTTAAGCGAGATTTTGCAGGAGTGTAAGCAAGAAAAGATGCCTGAGATGTATTTGTTGTTGTTTACAACATGTATTGTTGGGTTTGCTGATCATCTGGACTGAATACATTATGCATACAACTTTTCGTTCAGCATAGCCTCTTACCGACAAGGGAAAAAACAAGGGAAATAATGGCTCCATTGACGAGTGTGGACCACGTGGCATAGAACCCAGCCTAAGCATGCAATGCCATCAGACGACACCGCGCATATTCACTACCACCGAGAGTTTGCAACACCATGTTCATACTGGTGGAATGCAACACATTTTAACAAGTGAGTGAGTAGTCAATATTTCGTGAGTACTTTTGCGCATGTTTTTTAAACATCACGTAACTACCTTACGGTATGTGCAGATCGGCCACCGCAGGTGCCCACCGCAGTGCCCACTGCAGTGCCCATGCATGTGCACGTGCACCACAAAATTATACAGCAGTAAATTACATATCCGGCGAATTAAAAAAGAGCATATAGGGAGCGTATAGAGGGAAGAAAGGGTGGACAAGATAGGGATGGGCTACACGAAACATGGGTATGACAGATTTCAGTATGCGACACCCCAACCCCATCACACAATCCCTATATTGTTGCCTGAATTGCTACTCTTAGTGCCTAAGGTTATAAAGCATCGTGCTTATCCAGTTTTGGATTCTAGGGAAAGAGTCTCGAGCTGCAAGCAAGCGTTCTACAACAAAAAACGTGTCCGAGAAATCTGTTCATTCCCCTAGTTTCATGTATCCATCCCTATCTTGTCTCCCTTTACTTTTTATACGAGCCCTATATGCTCTCTTTTTTAAATTCACAGATTTAAAAAAGTATTTACTGTCTCCACTCATTGTAAAGCTACTACGTATATCTCTGTGAATGGGCCAGCACATATAAAAATTAAATACTAGAGAAAAAATGCCTGTTGTCGTCATGGACATGATGTGCATACAATGGGTTCATCATCTCATGTTTGATACTGTTAGGAGGCTTTGAGGAGTGCAGAGAAGTAATTTTAAGAAAGAGTGCTGAGGCCTATTTGTGCTGTGGTCATCATTGGAACGATGTAAGACCATGCGCTCCAAGTTTCACCTCCATGCGTGCTACGAGTAGCGAGTTTGAGGAGTAGTGTGAAGAAGTATGTCTAGAGAAAAGTGCCTGCGGCTATATGTTGTGTAGCGATATGTCGATGTGAAGCGATTTGTGGTTGTAATATCCACCAAGTTTGTATGGTTGTGATTTTGAGTGTGGTAATGAATAGCATATGTCTACATGTTCGTTCACATGCGCTCTCCATTGTGAGTATAAAACTGACACATGCGATCCCGTTATCAGGTATTGCTGGGCTATTTGTTGTGTACAGGAACCATGTTGTTTACAAAGAAATACGTATGCCATGCTCTTCGGGAGTGACGGATATCGACATCTGCAATAAACTTTCATTACTATATGTGTTCGTTTTGAGTTAGGGGTGTTGATCTGAAGAGAAGAAGAAGAAGATGAACAAAACTCCCTATCATCGCCCCATACATCTATGAGGCTAGGATACCATGTCATCCTATATACTAAGTACTACCGTATTAGTGACTAGAGTGGTGATACATGTATGCAAAAGATGTGCGGTGTCGAGATAGATAGTAAAGTCATGTTAGCTCCTCATGTGTCACTTATAGCGAATGGCATGGGCAGAGCAATCCCATATACCATTCCTGT